CCCTTGACCTTGATGTTATAACAACAAGCTCTTTAACAGCAGAGCTAACTGTGCAGCCCACCTCTATAACTTTAAAAAGCTATTGAGTGTCACTTTTCCCAAAAAAACCCCTTAAAATGAAAGATATATAAGTGATGTGAAAAATGCATTTTTTTTCTTTTAGCTTGTTCACATTTATGCTTTACCTCTGAATTTTTTATTAATTTTAATATTTTCTGTAATTCGAATAGTAATATTTAAAATTAGGTTGCCTGTGTAATCATACTTTTAGTTGATTGAGTCTCTTCCTTATGATCTAGACAGCAATGTTTTCAAGCCTTAATTTGGAGTATACTAAATGAGATTTATTTGCTCTTTGGTTTTGATAGATCTGAATTTTCACAGAATAGGATTTTCCAGATACTTGGATGTTGTTTGAAATCAACTTTTAGGCTTTCTAAGGAACTTATATCTCTTGCTTGTTTCTTTTGTTTTTCAGACTCATGAAATGGCCACAGATGATAAAACTTCCCCAACACTGGACTCTGCTAGTGATTTGCCTCGATCACCTACTAGTCCTTCTCATCTCACACACTTTAAGCCTTTGACTCCTGATCAGGATGAACCTCCTTTTAAGTCAGCATATAGTTCTTTTGTAAATCTCTTTAGATTTAACAAAGGTAAGACTTATTCCTTGGAGAACTTATGGTTTTGATTCTCTGAAATTCTCTTGTTCTGTTTTCACGCTGTGTCTGCAAGAAAGTGAAATATTAACAAGGTAATAGCTTTTTTGTTGTCGCTGTTTAAGGGGAAAGAAGAGCTGGAGCTGCTCTTTGCAGCTCAAAGGCTCTGTTACCACCCTAACTCCCACCCCAGATAATAGCTTTAATCATAGGTCACCAGGGTTTACTGCTTAAGAGAAAGCTAGAATTTTCACTGTAATCTCATTAATTATTAGTAACTGAAGGTCTCAGTTGAAAACTAAATGTTAAAAGGAGGGCCCTTTTTAAAGACAAAGTAGTGTCCTTTTTTTGTGATTCTTTTTTCTTAATATGCTTCAACTTCCTTAAGGTTACAGAATGAACTTTTTTTTGGGGGGGGGAGTAATAGCTAAAAGATTTTAATTAAAGCGGTGAAACTAAAAGGAGCAGTACATGGGAGGAAATGTTTATATTTCCCCCAAATTGGAAGCTGTCAGCAGACCTGTTGTTGACTTTAAACCCATTAGATTAAGGTGTACATGTAATGACATCAAATGAAAGATACTTTTATAGTGAGGTCTTTTTTTTTTTCTGACCGTTAAGGGGATCGCAACCCTCGGCACAGTGTGGTCTGCACCAGCCTCAGCCAGTGAGCGCACCGGCCATTGCTATATAGGATCCGAACCCACGGCCTCGCCGCACTCTCCCGAGTGAGCCACGGGGCCGGCCCTATAGTGAGCTCTTTTTAAGTAACACGTTTTTTTATCTGGAAGACAAATTAAAAAAACATGGCCTGTATCTTTTGCCTTTCATTTGTCTGTATTATTTGAAATGTGTTAGAATGTGATCCCTGTTGTTGTAAGGAATCTGATGGTGGTGGTTAATAATTTAATTAACTCAGTAGAAATTGTAATAGTATTAACTGAATTTTATTAATGCTCATGTTTAAAGTTCTATAAAAACACCTGTTAGTACATTTTTAAGGCAATGATATCTTTTTAAAAAATAAACTTTACTTTTTAAAACAGTTATAGATTTACAGAAAAATTGGGAGGATAATACAGAGAGTTCTGATATACCCCTACATGCAGTTTCCCCCATCACTAACATTTTACATTAAGTAGTACATTTTTAAGGCAATGATATCTTTTTAAAAAATAAACTTTACTTTTTAAAACAGTTATTGATTTACAGAAAAATTTGGAGGATAATACAGAGAGTTCTGATATACCCCTACATGCAGTTTCCCCCATCACTAACATTTTACATTAAGGCGGTGTGTTTGTTACAGTCAATGAACCATTGCTGATATATTATTATAAACTAAAATATGTATTTTGTTCAGATTTGTTTAGTTTTTACCTAATGTCCTTTTTTTGTTATAGGATCCCATCCAGAATACTACATTACATTTAGTTGTCATAAGACAACAGGTCTTTCTATTTGTTTAGCAAATGTTCATCAAGCACCAACTATGTGCTGGGGACTATTTTAATAGTGCAAGGGATCTATCCCATAAACAGACCAAAAAAATCCCTGCTTTTGTGTGAAGCTTGTATTCTAATATGCTCAAGAAATTTCTAATGAAAAGTAAAACAAACAGAAGATAACATATACCAAGGGTGTGATTATTGGCCTGTAATTTTGTCCCCCATCTTTGAATTTCTTTCTTTTTAAACCCTAATTCTTAAAAAAAACCATTTCTTTATTTATTTGGCAGCTGGCCTGTATGGGGATCTGAACCTTTGATCTCAGTGTTACCAATGCCATGCTCTAACCAACTAAGCTAACCCACCAGCCCCTCAACCCTAATTTTTATTTATGTATGTAATACATGTTTACATTGTTGTCTGAAACATTTCATCTATTTCATTTTCTTTGCTAAACTCTGAGTCTTAGTTTTTCAAGTAATGCCTAGCTTTCCTTTGCTACAGAGAGAGCAGAAGGGGGCCAAGGAGAGCAGCAGTCTCTGAGTGGAAGTTGGACCAGCCCTCAGCTTCCTTCAAGGACACAATCTGTGAGGTCGCCTACACCTTATAAAAAGCAGATTAATGAGGAACTCCAGCGTCGCTCTTCAGTAGTGTTAGGTAGAAGTGTTCTTATTTCATTCCTCTCTGTATGTTAGATTTTTCCGAAGTCATTGTGTTTCCCAGGTTGTTTATTGACTTAACTTTCCTGCTGTTTGGAATAGTCAGGTACTCTTCAGAATAAATGAAACTATTATCTAGGTAGTGAAAGAATTTGTTGACACTTGAAAAAAAATTCTTCAGCGTGTCCTTAAACTAATTTAGGCAAGGTGCAGATCTCTTGACTGTTTTTTGATTAATTACTTGCTTGGGTTTCAGCAGAGAACAGTTTACAGCATCCCCAGGAGAATACAGGTTAGTTTCAACTTTGTGAATGCATTTTGCATCTATTTTGGGGATGCTAGTGGAATTTGATGTGCATGCTTCTCGCTGCAGAACTCTGTCAACTCCATTAGTGGGCTGCCACTTGCTTGGCCTTCTGTCCTTGTTGAGGTACAAACCATCAGTGTGGCTGGATAAGCTGAGCTCCTCTTGCCTGTTTGTTCTCCATCCTGGTCTGCTACACAGTTATTTCCTTCATTTTCATCCTCTTCTGATGGGTATGGGCTAGGAGTCAGTATCTGAATTGAGAGACTAGAGAAAGTGAGGTGGTTTTTTTATTTCTGTTAGATTGTTAAACTCTGTGGAGTGGTTTGCCCAACTCAGGGTGACAGAAGAAAGGCAGTGGGAGATGGCTAATGGAGTGGAAAGTATACAGCACTGGACATCAGGTGTCTCTGAACACTAGATCCTGTCTAATCTGGCCAGTCTTCCCCATGAGGTCCTTGAGTGAAAAATGGGCGTAGGTAATGGTGGTTGGCAAAAGAATATTTTATTGCTAGTTGAGACTTGAAGAAACCAAGCAGAAGAGTTTCTACCTAAGGACTGGAGCAGAGCTGGTTGTATCACCTCGGCAGGTTTTCTAGGGCAGTGAGCCTCAGCCTGGGTTATATCAGGTCAGCGTTTGGAAGGAAGCATCAAAGATGGGAAGCAGGAGATGGAGAAGGGAGCCCTCTTTTTATTCTAAATTGTCACCATTTAACCTTTAACCTCAATAAGTTCTCCTTAGCTCTTGAACCTAACCCAAGGCAATACTATTTTTGGTGAGGGAGCGAGCTCTTCTGACTAAATCCTATGCTGAATTAAGCTGAATTAAGCATAGGATTTTTTTTGTTTGTAAAATTGAGGAGTTGGACTAGAATGTAATCTTTTATTTTATTTAATTATTTATTGGCAGCTGGCCTGTAAAGTGGAATATAATCTTTAAGGAGTTACAAATTGGCAGGCTGCCAAACCTTGCCTTTGGTGTATAAACTTGAATTTATTTATTTGTTTTTTGGTGGCTGGCTGGTGTGGGGGTTAACCTCGAATTTAAATATCTCTAGGTGGAGCTTGTAATGTGTAGTTTGCTGCAGTTCTCAACATACCTTATTGTCTTTTATCAAGTCCACTTGATTCTTGGAGGCATTTGAACTTCAGAAGCCTGGAACTGTTTGGACAGTCAAGTTCCTTTCCTTTCCAAAAGGCTGTATTCTACAATTTACTAGCTCTCTGACCTTAGTAAAGTTATTTAAGTTGTTAATATCCATTTTGCAAGAGAGGCTGCTAAAGTTATTTGCTTGAGGGCAAAGAGCTAGACCAGATTTCCTTTCAGGGTCTCTTTCCTCTTCATGCAAGATTTCTGAGTCTCTTAATTCCAGGAAGGGTCCTTTCCAGTGAATGATGCTGTTAATACTCCATTATATTCCTAAGTGGTGTTATTTGCTTGAGGGCAAAGAGCTAGACCAGATTTCCTTTCAGGGTCTCTTTCCTCTTCATTGCAAGATTTCTGAGTCTCTTAATTCCAGGAAGGGTCCTTTCCAGTGAATGATGCTGTTAATACTCCATTATATTCCTAAGTGGTTAAATGCAAGAGGCTTGCACAATTTATTTTGCACATGCTCGGGAGCACAGCCATTATGATTCTAACAGCTTCCTTTGTCTCCTTTTTCAACTCATATATCATGGAGAGTTGCTTTATGTTTTGAGACTCAAGAAAAATTTGGTAATTCTAAACTTACACATCAGTAACAAAACCTCTGAGATATGTGCTGAGATTAAGATAGAACTATTTATAGGAAGATAAAAATTTTCAAAGTTTTCTAAATTAGGTACAGTTTAGATAATTATTTCAATAATTAAATATCTTGGGAAATTCTTTGTAAATTTAGATTTTGAGAGCAACCTCTCAGTTCTTTTAAATCCCTTTTCCCCCACCCAACCAAAACAAAGAATACCTAAAACCAATCTAGCAAATAGTGAGTTTGAGGAAGATTCAGGTTGGAGTGTTTTCTGTCTTACTTTGCCATAGGTTATTAGATTAATGGGTTTAAACTAATAGGATGTTTGTCCTTTTTATCAAACCACCTCCACTTCTCCCTTAGGTTTTGTAACTGCCGGAGCCAGGAATATGTAGAAACTTCAGTTGTAATTTGGTCTAAAATAAGGAAATAATAGGTGGCAGCTTTGGCTATTATACTCCATTTTAGCTGCAAAGCTGAAATTTGGGCTTGTTTTTTTATTGAAAGACTTAACTTCAGTATTGCTATTTCAAGTATAAGCGATCCCTTCCAGTTTGGAGCTGCAAGATTGGGGAAGTAACAGGGAGCAGTAAGTAAGATTGGCATTTTAGCAGTTCTGTCAGTTTTAATTTGCTTGGACCTTGGTCAAATTTTACCATGGCAAAATTTACCATCTTGGATGTTCTGAAGTCTGTCAGAATTTTGGGGATGATCATCAGAATTTTCTGATGATCTGCCTCACAATACTTGCGGATATATGATCTGCAGATGGACCTAAACTGTTTGATTCTGTTGCTTTATCTGTTTGACTTTAGAGACCAACGAGGTTAACCCTCTGGCATTACTTTTTCTCCTGGTAAATTTCTAGTAGGTATTTATTATAGATTAGGACCAAAGTGCACAAGAACTCATTAATGAATTCTGCGTCATTAAAATGATGCTCCCACCCCAGGCCTCAAAACTATAAGTGGCCTCAGATAGTGCTTGTCTTAGGTAGCCATTACTTGCTTGTGAAACAGCATTTTACAGGGTAATAAATACTCTTAACAGCTTCTTACCCTTATAAAGACAAGCTCTCAGTCATATTACTGGGATAGAACATAAGCATATGCTAATAATAAAGGGGCACTTTGCATCACATATATACCTAGTTGTATATAGTTACTAGGGACTATTAACAAGGTTGGTTTTTTTTTTAAAAATCTGACTCAGATGCAAGAAGGAAAGCAGAACCTACTTTTGGAGGTCATGACCCTCGTACAGCTGTTCAGCTTCGAAGCCTCAGCACAGTGTTAAAACGCCTTAAGGAAATCATGGAGGGGAAAAGCCAGGTACTGTCTAGAGGTTTCGGATAATTACTTATTAAGCACTTATGGGGATCATGCCATACCCACTGAAAATGGCATAATGCTACATGAGAGAAACTGTAATCAGTACTTCTTCCAGCCACAAATGGCATATTTTTACACATAAGTTCTTTATTTTTGTTTATTTTTAGGCAGCTGGCTGTCAGCCCTCGACATTGGTGTTATCAGCTCCACACTCTAACCAACTGAGCTAACTGGCCAGCCCCATAAAGTTCTTTATTTTGATGTAGTCTGATTTGTCATTTTTTTCCGCTTTATGGTTAGTGCTTTTTGTGTTCTGTTTAAGAAGTGTTTACCTTAGGCCATGGTCAGTATATATTCTCCTGTGGTTACTTCAAGAAGCTTTATTATTTGTGTGAAGTATAGGAGTTAAGCTTCCTTTTTTCCTCTCATGGATATCCAGTTGGACCTAGCACCGTAGTTTTTGAAAAGACTATGCTTCACCGATTGCATTATAAACGTAAGAAACCCATATACATGTGAGGGTGTGCCAGGACTTTCTTTTCTCTTCTATAGCTCTTTTTTTTCTCTTCTTGCACTAAAACTCTCTAAAATCATTGTAGCTTTAGGATAAGTCTTGATGGCTGGTCAAGACTTCAATTTTGTTCTTCAAGATTATCTTGGTTATTTTGGCCTTTTGCATTCTCATATGAATTTTAGAATTAACTTGACATTTTCTGTAAAAGAAACCTGGGGTTACATTTGCCATTGCATCTTAATAGTCAGTATTTGCAAGAAGCCTTCACACATTTTTATTGTTACAGGATAGTGACCTGAAGCAATACTGGATGCCAGATAGCCAATGTAAAGAGTGCTACGACTGTAGTGAGAAATTTACAACTTTTAGGCGCAGACACCATTGCCGACTGTGTGGGCAGATTTTCTGTAGTCGTTGTTGTAATCAAGAAATCCCTGGAAAATTTATGGGCTATACAGGTAAATGCATTTTACAATATTTATTTATTTATTGGAATGTTCTTCGTCAAGTTTTAAAGTTTTCAAAGGTCATAACTATAGAATAGTTGTAATATAGGACAGTATTAAGCCAATTTTTATTTTGGGCTTTATGTATAAGACATGGGGACACAAACGTGAGGGAGACACAGCTTTGCTTTTAAGAATTTTACAGCCAAATAAAGTAGATGAGAACAGTCATAAATAAATAGAGTAAAAGAGAGTGTATCATAGAGCTAGCAAAAAACTGTAGGAGCATTAAAATTTATTAGATAAGATGGTAAGAGTAGACTACTAATTTATATTACTATGAGAGTTGTCATTTTACAAAGTACAGATCTTCCTTGACGTATATGACACTTCCTTGACACTTTGTTTTGGCAAATTGTATCTTACTCATATTCTTCCATAAGGAACACAGTCAAATATTAGAAATACAGAAAATTTAAATTATTTGTTGAAACAGGAAAAACTGAACAATGATGTATGGATTTATACAGTGATTTGGGAATGGAAGGTGGGCAGAAGTTACCCAAAAGACAACACTTTTAGCATATCTCTCATGTTACTTTTGTTGTTGTGCAGATCTTCCTCTTGGTCTTATTCACTTTTTTTCACCTAAACTGCTTCAGAGTTAAAAATTCCATTATCTTTCACCCAGATTATGACTGCAGCTTTTAAAAGATTTTTTTACCTTTAGTTTTTTCCTACTTCTAATTCATTTTTCATGCTCTAGTTGGTAGTCTTTGTAAAATGCTAATTTGATTATGTCAGGGCATTCCCCTGCCTAATACCCTTTAGAGCTCCCATTACCCTTAGGATAAAACTGTCATTATGGTTGGTGTATTAGTATCCTAGGGCTACCATAACAGAGTACCACAAACTCAGTGGCTCAGAACTAAAGAAATTTATTGTCGTATAGTTCTGGATGCCAGAACTACCATAATACAGGTCAGGGAACCAGTGTAGGGATTCTACCAGTTGCTGAGTATGTCTGTTCCAATTATAAACCCTGGAACTGGGGAAATAACCACAGAATGAGTTTGGGGACCCACTAAAACCACTGAGAGATGAACCTGACCTAAAACGTTGTTGATTAGCTGACCGCTATAAGCTCCTACTCTGACTGGTGGATCACAGTGATGTTTTGGGCTTCCTGAAATTACTGTCAGTTTAGAGTCAGTGTCCAGTAATTCCTGAAAAGTTTTTTATTTCCTTCTTCTCAATGTACAGCTACCTTGGTAAAAGGCCTTAGGTCCCTTTGGGGAAGGCTGGTAGAAAAATTAACTATACATTTTTGGCAGAGTAATGGGGTTCTTCCTCAAGGGGACCCAGTCTCCCCTTCATTCAAGGAGTTCTGGGTCTGTAAATGGCCCAAGTCTGGGATTTGATTGAGAGGTCATGACTGTTTTTATGATTCAAGTTAGACTTTTGTCTACTTGATCTAGAATTCTTCCTCTTACACAATTCAAGTATGAATTTAGATGACTGCCCATCTACTACTTTCTTCTAGGAACATCATGATCAACTAACCAATGCCATAGGTCTCTTTGAGTCAGATTATCTTGATAACTGCTTTGACTTTAATGTCTATTATGATAACCATGCCCATCTTGTCTTTGGTGATTCAGTGCTGCCACTGGGCCCATGACACCTGGGGATCCAGTTATCCCTACTGTATTTAGATTTCCTGATTCAATGGCAGCAATTACTGCTGTAATTTCTGACCTACCAAGAAGAGCAATCACAAAGCTCTTCAAGGATGCTAGAACTCCCTTCACAAATTTACTTCTCATAGTCATAGTGAAAGGTAGATCCTCCCCAGGGTGGATAATCAGGTTTTACATGGTAAATCCACTACTGATGTTCCATTCTTCCTGAGCCTTTGAATCCCTTCCTCTATAGTAAAACGAGGGCAGCTCTGGCATTTCAACTTCACTTTGGTCCATGTTTCAACCAATCAACCAAACAGGCTCTTAGAGCCCCTTTTAACTCTTCAAGCTGCTACATTAAATCCAGAATCTCTGCTTAGTAAGCCCACATCAGTAAATTTGGCTTGATCCAACTTTATGTTCCACCACTATCCACACCGTCTGTGTTATTCCCACATGTATCTCCTAGGCTTCTGTCTGTATAAATTGGAAAAATCATGTAGTTCTTTTGGTAGTGTAGCATACCTCCTTATGGGTCACACTTTGTATCTTGCTTTTCAGGGCCTGCTGGGGCTTGAGTCTTGTTACAGGTCTAGAAGCAAAAAGGGGTGGTGGGAGTGGATCTTGAGGAAAATTAGTGTTTTGCAAGGCAGCTAACTCAGGGGGGGTCATTACAGATTCCTCAGGCAAATCAGGGTTAATCTCCTCAGCTGGGGTAGAAAGGCTACTTTTACTGGCAAAGTTGGCTCAGAATTTTGGGCTTCAATATCCCCAGCTTCATCAGGCTCTTTCCATATATCCCTTCTCCAGTTTTCAGCATCCCATTCTTTCGCAAATAGTACCCTTACTTTAATAGCAGACATACTGCAAGATTGGCAATTCAGTTTGTGTTTTAATTCAGCCACTTGCAGGATGCGACTGTTGGTTTGATTTTTAGCAATCTTAACACTGAGGCTACAATTCAGTTTGTGTTTTAATTCAGCCACTTGCAGGATGCGACTGTTGGTTTGATTTTTAGCAGCAATCTTAACACTGAGGCTATAGGAGGTAAGGATTTCTTTCTTTCAAGGAAGACATGGAAACTTTCAGGTAATTTGTACAATTCTTGACTGGGGAATTTGAATCTCTGAGGTCATCCTTTTCTTTCCTCGCTTTGTCTGGTATAATTAGAAGCAACCAGCCAATCTCAATATGCTTGTTAGTTTGATAAAAAGGTTCCTAAGGTATTAAATACATGGTCACCCAGAACCTTGCCTCTTACAAGTATTTGATTAGGAGTATCCATAGGTGATATTTTGTATGTCTCTTTCGCCACATCATACTATGGACTATCGGTGTTCTCTTTACTACTGGAAATAGAGTCATTGGTGCCCTTAAATCTAATTGGATTAGAGAACCAATTCCAGAAGCTCTAGTACCAATTCAGAAAACTCATCCTTAAGATTCTGTTGCTCCAGAACCATTCTCAGCACCAAAGTCTGTATTAGTTAGAGTTCTCCAGAGAAACAGAACCAATAGGATATACACACACACACACATACTTATATGTGGTTGACCCTTGAAGAAGGTGGAGTTGGGAGTGCCAACCCCCTGCACAGTTAAAAATTCATGTATAAGTTTCAACTCCCCCAAAATTTAACTACTTAACTCTTAAGTACATGGGGTGCTTTCCCCTGAGTGGTGGCCTCCCTGCACTGCACCATGTACCCCTGAACCTTGCTGGGGTTGAGGGGATGCTACTTTGTGACTTAATTAGTAGTTAAGTAGTTTTAATTATTTGATTAGTAAACAGCAGGCTACTTAACTATTTGGTTGACATATCTAACTAAAAATTTTCCAGTGTATTTATTGAAAAAAATCTGTGTGTAAGTGGGCCTGCACAATTCAAACCCATGTTGTTCAAACCCAAGGATTTGCTATAGAGAGATTTACTTTAAGGAATTGGTTCAAGCGATTGTGGGGGCTGGCAAGTCTGAAATTCTCAGGGCAGGCCAGTGGGCTGGAAACTTCTGCAGGATTTCTGTCTTACAGTGTTGAGACAGAATTCCATTTTCTTCTGGAAACTTTATAGTCTCTGCCCTTAAGACCTTTAACTGATTGGATAAGACCTACCCACATTATGGAGGGTAATCTGCTTTACTTAAAGTCAACTGATTGTAAATGTTAATCACAGCCAAAAAAAAAAAAAACCTTCACAGCAACATCTAGGCTGGATCAAACCTCTAGCTAGGGTAATCTGCTTTACTTAAAGTCAACTGATTGTAAATGTTAATCACAGCCAAAAAAAAAAAAACCTTCACAGCAACATCTAGGCTGGATCAAACCTCTAGTCTAGCTAGAAGGCTGGATCAAACCTCTAGCTAGGCTGACCCATCATTAACCATCACAAATGGCATAATATGCTGGGCACAGTTGTATGTTGTGACCCTGAATAAGTGCAAAATACCTTGAACAATGTCTGGCATGTAGAAAGGGATTAATGAATATTAAGCTGCTGTAATTGGCGGTAGTAGCAGTAATATCTCTGTATCTGTCATGTAGCTTTTTATTTATATGTGTATCTGTCCCCTCTAGTGGACTGAGTTCCTTGATGGCAGGACTGTGTCTCATCTTTGTATTCCCATCACATAATATAGGCCTATGCTCAGTGGGCTCTTGCTGATAAAGGTTCTTCATGAAATTAAAACTTTTCTGGTTAGCCTTGGCTCTGATTAGTTGATTTGATAATTTTAGTTCTAGTAGCATCCTGGTTAAGGGAGATTTCCTTTATAGTGTAAGAAACAAACCAATGCTTTGTTGTGGTAATTTGAAGGTCTTTCTGCAGGGAGTAATTGCACTTCCTTAGTGCAGTTCTACTTTGGTCAGCTTACAATAGAATGTTCTAGCACTTTCATTTATCCTAGGTAGGAGCTCACTTTCTTGGGGGGTAGAGGGGTCGTTCTGATTGAAGTGGATATATTTTTCTTTAGAGTTTTAATAGATTTCATCAGTTAAATTGTGATGTCAGAAATTAGTAATGCAATAAGTGACATTTTATTTTGGTTTTACATGCATAATTTAATAAAATTGAGCACTGTACAATCAGTCCTAAAGTGAAAAAATAAAAGGTCATTTATTATACTTGGTAGTAATTATGGTAAAAACACACTGCAGTTAAATTTTAGAATTTTTTTGTTTTGCATTCAGTTTGCTAATGTAAATGGGGGAAAATTTAAGGTAGAATTGTTAAATAACATGTTATTAGTAAGGTTTAATTATATATCTCCTTTTTTAGTACATTAAAACATTATAGAATCACTTGAAACAATGGTACAGGAAGACAGGGTAGAAATGAAAACTTATTTGGGGCAGGACTGCGTCCTAAAAAAAAATACATTTAGAAATATTAAATAACCTTGTTTGTCCTCCCAAGAATATTTCATGTACATCCTGACTTTTACTATAAGAATTTCTTTTATAGTTTTTGCCCCTCTGTGTGATATTGTATGTAAGCCCATTTTTTATTAGTTTGTTTTTAAAATTGTTCCCCCTTGTGGAGGCCACTCTTTAGGGCTTTACAATAGAGACCTTAATAATTTTCTCCTAGGGAAAATATGTTGTTTTCATTTGCATTGGTTTATTTATTCTATGCATTTTTTTCCCTTGAAACTCTAATCCATGATAAATCCACTATTTTGCATTTATAATCTTGAAAAAATACTCTTTTAAGTAGGGTTTTGTAGTATCATTGGGTTGTATTTTCTTTTCTTTCTTTCTTTTTTTTGATGACTGGCTGGTATAGGGATTCGAACCTGTGACTTGGGTTTATAAGGCTGCTCTCTAACCAACTGAGCCAACTGGCAAAGCTGGGCTGTATTTTCTTAACTCATTACAAATACTTGAGGTAAGTTAGATATCTGGATGAATTTATCATAATGGAGGTTCTTAAAATATATTGCAGAGCTAACAAGATTATTTCACTTTTTAAAAATATCTTTTTTCATAGTCTTTACTTGGAGACGTTTCCCTGTTATGTGATTGTTTAGCCAAGGATTTAAAATGTTCTGTTAAGTAATATATTACTGTTATATTTTACCTTTTTTTTTTTTTTCTCCTAGGGGACCTCCGAGCTTGTACATACTGTAGAAAAATAGCTTTAAGTTATGCTCATTCCACAGACAGTAATTCCATTGGGGAAGATTTGAATGCTCTTTCAGATTCCACTTGCTCTGTGTCTGTACTTGATCCAAGTGAACCCCGTACACCTGTTGGGAGTAGAAAAGCCAGCCGTAACATATTTTTAGAGGAAGATTTGGCCTGGCAAAGGTATTTTCACTTAAATATAATTTAAGTTTAAATTTATGGATAAAATAAAAAGTTTAAGTTTATGGATACTGATGATATTGACTAATTAGAATGTAAGCTCCATGAGAGGAGAGGCTTTTTTTTTCCCACTGTTCTACCCCAGCACCAAGAACAGTGCATGGCATATATATGATCTTGATAATATTTGTTGAATAGGCAACAGAAGTCATGAGATTAGTAATTCCTGATGTAGCCTTCTTTGAGAAGGGTAATGCTCATCTCTAAGATTTGTATTCATAATATTTCCAAATTATTTTTTTTCCGTTCTGAAGGAACATTTCTTATCTTTCTATATGTTCAAGTATGCTGCACTGCCTGGTAGTGGAGAATGCTACCAACTTTTTCTTGGAAGTTACTTGAAATTGTTTGAATTGGAATCTTAGGTTCATCAGTTTCTGATTGTTTTGTTTAGCTAAATTATTTTCTTAAGCGTAATACTAAATTTGGCTATGTCAAAAAGCTTAGAGTTTTAACTAACATCTTTCTGATAAGTTACTTTCTCAGTTGCCCCTTAAGTAGTGAGGACTTAATATATAATAATGAATTTAAACAAAGTAAAAAATGAATTAACTACAGCTACATTCAACATGTATGAATCTCAGGGACATAGTGTGGATTAGTAAAGAAAGCTATCTAATCATACATTCAATAAGATTCAATTTATATAAAATTAAAAAATGTATAAAACTAATACACCATTTAGGGATACAAATGTAGTAAAACTTAAAAAAAGATAATGATAAATGTGAAATTTACAATGCGGTTTCTTTGAGGGCAGGGAAGGGAAAGGGATTGGGTAGGGGAACACTGGCACTTCAAAGTCATTGGTAGTGTTTTTTTCTTAAATTGAACATTTACCTTAAAGTGTTATTGGGAGGATTAAATAGCCACCTGGGTTGTCGTAGATACATTTAATATTATTTTTCCTCTCACACTCTTAAAGACACACACACAACATTTACCTTAAAGTGTTATTGGGAGGATTAAATAGCCACCTGGGTTGTCGTAGATACATCTAATATTATTTTTCCTCTCACACTCTTAAAGACACACACACACACACACACACACACACACACACACACACACACACACACAGGCATAGAATTTTGATTAGAGCAGAGCAGCATTTTTGCAAAATAATCTGCCAGGTAAATGCTGTTTGTTCTATCTCTTTGCTCTGTTTTTTGTTTGTTTGTTTGTTTTGTTTTGTTTTTTTGCTGCTGTTTGTTTTGTTTTGTTTGTTTTACAACAAAATTAACTCCAGTTTGTACTTGAACAACAACATGGCAGGAAAAATATATATGCATTCACTTATAAAGTCAAGGGGATATATTATGCCGGATGGTTACCTAAGAAATTAATGTTTAATGCAGAAGTTTTCCTTTGACCATATTTTTGGGCCATGCTCAAAAGGGCAGCTGGAGGTTCCATTTTCAAATAACAGGCTGGTGTCATTTTGTGTGTATATATGTGTGTGTATATGATTATATATATATAAAAGGATACATATCCATATATAAATAGCTGCTGCTAGCACTAGATGGTTGGACGGATGGATAGATAGAGGAAGGAATTTATTCTAAAGAATGCATTTTATGCTATTGTTATGATGCTAGAAGATAAAACCAGCTGCACATCTTCCTTTTCCCTTTATTGATAATTTAGGAAACAATTTAAAAAGCATAAGATGCTCATAACCTTCATTTAAACATTACTTTTTAAACTTTCCTTGTATAAAATTCAATATTTCTGTTAAAGATATTATTACAAAGAATGGAATTTCACTAAAGAGTAGAGGGAAGGACCAGTATTTTTTTTCTTCTTATGAGTAGAGAACAGTTAAAAATCCAATCACTACTATTTTATATACCAATTAAAATTCCCCTTATTGCTCCACTTACCCTCTGCCTCTTCCTATCTGACCCTGAAGTAATCACATAATATAACATGCAATACTACTCTTCTGATATTTTTTTTTCTGTGATGTTTAATATATGGCAATATACTGCTTTTTTCTTTTCAAATGTGGTCATACTATATGTTCAGTATAACAGTTACAATTCACTCTTGCCTCTCCACTTTTAAATAATATACAGAATATATAGATTTGCTTCATTCCTTTTTAAGTTGCATATTTTTTTTATTGTGTGGATGCTCAAGGATTTAACTGACTGTTTCTATAATGATGGATTATTGGGTTGTTTTCAATGTGCCACCATCACAAGCAAAGCTGTAACATGGCAGGATCCTTCTTGGAAGGGTAGTCCATAAGGAGCTGTGTAAGTAAGGACAGTGTGCTCTTGCTTGGAGTCCAAGGAATTTGCAATAAGAAACATTCCCATGAGACTTATGAGTCTCAATTACTTCTGTAGGAATGAGGCTGGGGCTTAAGCATGGAACCCATGTTATAGGGGCATGCACTGGGAGAACGTGACTTGCAGAGTGTGACCCTGAAACCCAACATGCTACTTTCTGATACTGATTAAATTGCCTAGATGAGAGGAATAAGGAATAGAGAAAGATATCAATATATAACTGAAGGGCTAAAAATAACAATTCAGAAAATCCAAAAGAATCTACAGAAAAAAAAAAAAAAAACCCTCCTGAAACTAATAAATGATTATAGCAAGGTTGGAGGATACAAGGTTAGTTTACAAAAGTCAGTTAATTTCTTATACTCCAGCCATAAAAAAGTGGAATTTAAAATTGAAAACATATTACCATTTACATTTGCATCCCCTGAAAATGAAATAGCATAAATCTAATAAAATATATACAAGATCTATATGAGGAAGACTACCAAAAAAAAAAAAAAAACTCTACTGAAAGATATCAAATGGGGAGATTTGCCTTGCTCATGGATAGGAAGACTCAACATTGTCAAGATGTCAATTCTTTCCAAATTAATCTACAGATTCAATGCAATCCTGATCAAGATCTCAGCAACTTATTTTGTGGAATTGATAAATGGATTCTAAAGTTTGTATGGAAAGGAAATCAAAAGACCCAGAATAGCCAACACAATATTGAAGGAGAAGAACAAAATTGGAGGGCTGACACTGCTTAAATTCAAGACTTCAAGACTAACTATAAAGCTACAGTAATCAAGACAATGTGGTATTGGCCAAAAAATACACAAATAGAACAGTGGAACAGAACAGAGAGCTCAGAGGTAGACCCACATATATATGATCAACTAATTTCTGACAAAAGAGCAAAGATAGTCTTTTCAACAAATAGAGCTGGAACAACTTGATATCCTCATCTAAAAAAAAAGAAAAAAGAAAAAACCTAGATACAAACCTTACACTCCTCACAAATATTAACAATATGGATCACAAATCAAACCGGAAAATGCAGAACTATAAAATGCCTAAAACATAACACAGGAGAAAATCTAGGTGACCTTGGATATGGTGATGACTTTGTAGATACAACACTAAAGGCATGATTCATGAAAGAAATAATTGATAAGTTGAGCTTTTTTAAAATTAAAAACTTCTGCTCTGCAAAACACACTGTCAAGAGAATAAGACAAACTACCGACTGGTAGAACATATACGCAAAAGACACATCTGAAACAGGACTATTATCCAAAATATACAAGTAACTCTTAAAATTCAGCAATAAGAAAATAAAGAGCCTGATTAAGAAATGGGCCAAAGACCTTAACAGATATCTCACCAAAGAAGGTATGCAAATGGCTAAGCTTTTAAAAAGAATATTAAACAATTTGCAACATAATATGTCAATAGGGAATTGCAAATTGAAACAATAAAATACTTCTACACACCTTAAGAGTAGCCGAAGTCCAAAATGCTGACACCACTAAACTGCTGGCAAAGATATGGAATAGGAATTCTCATTTATTGAGGGAAGAATGCAAAATGGTACAGCCACTTGGGAAAACAATTTGGCAGTTTTTCAGAGAACTAAACATGCTCTTACCATATGATTTAGCAATTGCATTCTGTGGTATTTACCCAAATGAGTTGAAAACCTATGTCCCTACAAAAACCTGCACATAAATGTTTTTTGCAACTTTATTCAGGATCGCAAAAACTTGGAAGCAATCAAGATGTCCTTCAGTAAGGGAATGGATAAACTGTAACATATCCAGACAATGGAATATTATTCAGCAATAAAAATGAAAGAGTTCTCAAGCCATGAAAATACATGTAGAAAACTTAAATGAATATTATTAAGTGAAAGAAGCTAATCTGGAAAACCGTGTACTGTATGATTCTAGCTATATGACTTTCTGGAAAAGGCAAAACTATGGAAATAGCAAAAGTATCAGCAGTTACCAGGTGTTTAGAAGGAAGTGAAGCACAGAGGATTTTTAGGTCACTGACACTACTCTGTATGATACTGTAATGGTGGATACATGTCATTATACATTTTTTCAAAACAAATAGAATTTACACCACCAAAAGTGAACACTACTGTAAGCTTTGGACTTTGGGTGATAATGATGTGTCAGTGCTACCCCGTGTCCCACTCTGGTGGGGGATGTTGATAATGGAGGAGGCTGTGCATGTGATATCTTTCTCGATATCTTTCTCGATATCTTTCTCTCAATTTTGCTGTGAAACTAAAATTGCTTTAAGAAACAAAGTCTAATAAAAAATAATCAAAAAAATTCGAAAACTTTAAATTCAGAAATTATTCTATTGGGTACTATATCTTGAATACTAAGACAAATTTAGATGGTTTACCTTTTTCTGCTTTTATGTGAGTATTTAAATTTGTGTAAATTCAGCCCCTAGATTTGATTCTGACTATATAAATGTCCTCTCATTGTGTTCTCCTGAATAGATGGTATTGATTACCTTACAACTTTCTCTTTAAACACACTGATTCCAGCATTTTGCCTAAACAAACTTACCACTTAGCTGTTCAAAGGGAGAATGAAAATGTCCCATTAATTGTTTGTTTTCCTTTAGAAATAGCTGGAG